GCGCGCGTGGTCCTCTGAAGGAAAGGAGAAGGTGGGATAAGAGAGAATAACTCCTCAGAACACTCGCCGTAGTACAGACGATAGAACGCGCTTAGTGACGCCACGTCACGGCGTAATTGAAGAGGCTCAAGGTGTTCAGTCACCTCCTCATCGCCTATGATGCGGATCGCGCGTCGCTGTAACCTATCCAAAGCATCGAGCAAGTACTTGGCGGAGCCATCCCAGAGGTGCGAGCAATATTCCACGCAGGACCGCACTTGCGTTTTGTACAACAAGCACAGTTGATTGGGCGTGAAAAAACGCCGCACCTTGTTCAGGACTCCGAGTTTGCGTGAAGCTGTTTTGATCACGGTTTCGATGTAGTTCTTTGGATTCAGGTCTGATCGAACCTCCATACCGAGCATGGAAATGTTGCTCTGTAGCGGTAGTGTTGTGCCCTGAAGAGAGGGAAGGGAAAGGAATGGCGATGTTTTTGCCGTGAAAGCGCAAGCCTGGGTTTTCATGGCATTGAACTCAACCAAGTTCCTGGTACCCTATTCGGAAATGTGGTCCAAAGCCTGATTGAGTTCAATGACAAGATTCTCCCGTTTCTCCTTGGTTACCGCCAGCCCAGCCGCTGCTTGTCCGAGATACCCCGCATGCACTGTACTATCGTCTGCATAGCAATGAATATTCTCAAGAGGAATTAAGTCATTGATATGCAGCAGAAAGAGAGTGGGGGATAGGACGGAGCCCTGGGGAACGCCGGCATTCACTGACATGAACCGCGAACTGCTACCATCCGTAAGGACACGAATTCTACGCTCATGCAGGAAGTCAGCCACTCAAGAACAGAACTGGGCTGGCAGACCGTATGCCGGAAGCTTGGAGAGAAGGCTTTTGTGCCATACCCTGTCGAACGCCTTGGCAATGTCAAGGCTGATAGCCAACGACTCGCCACGCTTGTCGATAGCCTCACGCCAGATATGAGTTAAGTACGCTAGAAGATCACCCGTCGATCGTTTCGGTCTAAAACCATATTGACGATAATTAATCAAGGAGTGATCCTCTAGGTAGCGGGTCAGATGGTTATTAAGGACCTTTTCTAAAACTTTACATAAAACTGAGGTGACTGCTATTGGCCGGTAGTTTGCCGGGTCTGAGCGATCCCCTTTTTTGGGCACCGGTTGCACTTTAGCATCTCTCCAAGTCTTCGGCACACGCCCCAAAGAATACGAGCATTGGTACAAGTGCGTGAGCACGGGAGACAACTCCGCTGCACATTTTTTAAGTACTACTGCTGGGATGCCATCAGGTCCACTAGCTTTCCGGACGTCGAGTGATTGCAATTCGGCACGAACCTCGCGCTGCCTGATTTTAATATCAGGCATCGTTGTGCCACAGTGAGGTAATGATGGTGGCAGTGCATTGCAATCATCGATTCGGGAGTTAGCCGCAAAGAGTTTTGCCAGTAAATCGACTTTCTCCTGCGGCTTATGGGCTAGTGTTCCGTCTGGGCATCTCAGAGGTGGCAGCGAGGGCTCGCAGAAGTTTTTTTTGCACGGCCTTGGCCAGACGCCAGTAGCTACGGGAGCCCGTAGGATGCGTCATAAGTTCCTGGCCAACACGTGCAACGCGCTGGGCATCCGCTCTAATGTAAGCCTTCTTACAGGCCTTGGAAGCAAAATTGTAGGCTGATTGAACCAGAGGTTACGCGTGCCCTTACTGATGAGATCAGAATGAGGAATATAGTATTCCATACCCATTATAATCTCCTCAGTAATGTCAAGAACTAATGTCGGTTACGATAACAAGTAGTCTCGCTTGCGCTACAAAAAATCGATCGCTAGCCACGTAAGATATAAATGCTCGTTGTCGCTTACGTTACGGCTTTAAAAATATATGTATTTACGATAATTTTAGCACTTGCTATAACTTTATAACGGTGTTCTTTTGGAGGGAAATATCAACAGAGATGGGTCCGTTACGGTTTAAAATATTAGTTTCCACAAAAAACGCATTTCGACAAAAGTGTCGCTTACGATAATTTGGCGGTAACGGCTCGATATGTTATAGACTAAGTGATTAATCGGGCATTATTTATAATATCCGGGCAATATGAATAATGCCCAAGAAGAGCAGGCAATGTGATTATAACCAATCAATTTATCACATTGCCCGGGCATTATGATTAATGCCCAGTGCCTATTGGGCAGAGTGATGTAAAGCATGTTTAATACTCAAATGAATACTTAGTTAGATAGACCGAGCACAACAAGTAATCAAATCAATTATCGGGTAGAGTAATAATAAAAACATATTTTATAGTTTAGTATTTATTGAAGTTATACTTCTTTAGCCGCGTTATGAAAAAATTATGAGAGTGAAATTTTAAGATGCGCGCGCATCACTGTAACACAAAAGTAACATAATGAAGTTAGCCGCGGGTGCGTTATGAAAAAATCATGTGAGTGGAATTTCGAGATGCGCGCGCATCACTGTAACACAATAGTAACACCATGAAGTTGGCCGCGGGCGCGTTATGAATGTTAGTGTCTAATAATAACATCTGTTCGAAAGGTACTTTGAACGATCCACGGAGCTCCATAAGATGATCGCGTTGTCAAAAACAATGTTGGCACGCTCGTCGCCTCTGATCACTGTTTTCATATTTATAATATTTATCCACATGTTTCTAGTTTCTATATAGACACAACGTGTTTTAGTTACTTACAAGTGCTAATTATATATGGACTAATAACTTAAATTCAGTAGTGATTTAAATTGAATATTTTGATTATTTATTAAATTTTTCAAATGAAAACTGAACTGTATTGACTGCGTGACTATGCTTTTCCAATCCTTTTATTATCTTATTGTAATTAATTATCTGCATGCAATTAAAAACTATTTTTTAATAATTCCAAAAAGAAGTATAACTTCTCACGCGCGTACTTAAGTACACGCACCCATATTTTTTTTTTAAATTAAAATAATCAGACTTCGGTTTTATTTCGATCAATTTACGAAATGCTACATTTAGAAACTATAGTCTATAGTAGTTTCAATACAGTTTGTTTGACCTCAGGCGCTACGGGTCGCACGACGCTTGCGGCTTTTGTCACAGCAGGGGGGGGCTGCTCTCCCTCCACGCCTCCGTTCTCTAAAAAACACTCTAGAGGTAGGGCAGACCAAGACCATGGCGTGTCGGGGTTGACTAAATCGGTTCTGAATTAAAGACTGTTGTAAAGCTGCATTTACTTTTTTTTTTAAATATTGAGCCCATACTATTTTTTATTTACCAAGATCTCAAAACAAACACAAATGGCGAGACATCTGTCATTTTGACAATAGTACCAACGTTTTGAATTTATTCATACTGCCCGGTCCAAGCGATAAATTTAAGCTTTCTAAACACTGACTTATTACATGGACCACGAGCCGTCTGGCATTATTAATAATGGCCGGGCAATGTGATAAATAGGTGAGTTTCGATTGTAATTAATCACTTGGCCCGATATGGCTGGGCATTATTCATACTGCCCTGGCATTATGAATACTGCCCGCATTAATCACTTGGCCCATAACATATACATTAGAATTTATTTGATTAAGCTAGCATTCTTAGTTTGCGAGATTTTTAAGATTCTTTAAAAGTGAAAACGAAGGCCACATAATTTTCGGGTAGTTTGTTTTTCTCGTTCTACAGGTATCTTGTATAAAATGCTGCTATACATTATGACGTCAACTATTTTGATTGTAAAATAATAGAACTTAAGTAACAAAATTAATAACTCTACTCGTCGCTACATACTACCATAACATAACAGTTTCAAACTTTACCGATAATAGGTAATTATCAGAAAAGTATGAAACTATTAAAAAACATTACGTGAACAAGCTAGCGGTAACCAATTGTAGTAATAGATAATAATATAAATGTCATATTTGTCCTTGTCATCATAAAAACTATGAAAATGATTATATAAATTAATGCGACAAACAACATTCTAAGTATAATGCAAATATTCTGATGAGCAATAAAGATAATTTTGTTTAATAATAAAATTGCTTTCTTTATATTTTTTACGCAAATTCTAACGTACAAGTATTATATTATTATTCCATATTATTATATGTATGTAATAATATTCATAGTACCTTGGGTAGGTACTCTGTAACTGATATATTTGTTTTGATTTGTTTTCCACTTTTAGACAACGATGTTATTTTTAATGCATCGCAACGGTGATCACAGAATGTCGAAAGGCTATGAATATGATCTTGGACGAAGAATCTCGCTTTAATACTATGTATATGAGCTCGACTGTCACCATGCAGGCAGCCAGGACCAATGACTGGAAATCCGAAAAACCTTTGGTCACCTATCTTTGATACCAGGACATTACGAAAATTACTTAAAATTTGATTATCGCTTGAATACGGCAGGTTACGAAAATCAAATAGTTATCACATGCACAAAAACATTTTTCAAAAAAATACCTAAACTATAGAGACGCTCATGTTACGTTATGGTAACTATTTATTAGCTTATTTATTTCTTATGTTTTTATGTACACCAATCATAATGATAAAACACTTTCTGACTGGATTGTAAAGCAGGATTTATTGACTTTTTTAATTTTTTAGGGTTCTATACCTCAAAAGGAAAAAGCTGAACCCTTATAGAATCACTTTGTTTTCCATCTGTCCGTTTGACTGACAAGACTTTTATCTCGAGAACGCGTGGAGCTATCGAGTTGAAATTTAAACCATAAACTCAGGTCTACTGTTTCCAGAAACTGCGAAGAAATCAAATATAATAAACGTAAAAAAAAAGATACGGCCGTATACGTTGCGTACTTACAAATTTATACGGTACCTTCAGTGTGCAAGCCCGACTGACGGTTTTTTTTTATTATTGTTGAAACCACGGAGCCTGTTGCGAATCCGAAACGTCAAGAATTATGAAGAAATTTTGATCTCCGTTAAATAAATAAGAATGAATAAATTTAACTCACATGATCGCAAAGTTCTGGTAAGCGCGTTGTCCGGAGTGTTTGGGAAATTTCGAGTGTTCTGCCCGAGTAGTTTGTGCGCTTGCGCAGGCGTCTCTTGTTCGTCCATGGTTCAATGTCAACGTTATCTTCGTCTACTGATCCGTCTTGTTTATCTGCAACAAAATATTAATAGAATATCAATAGACCTGAAGAAATTACACAGAAAACTAGTGAACTGCAAATCTGATTACCAATGAAGTATTTGAAAATAGATCGAAACAAAATTGTAAAAGAAATCACGTTTCATTTTATTTGCTGTGATAGCGGCAACAGTGGGCTTGATTCTGGCGTTACATTCTCTATAAATCTAAATTTAAAACTAAAAAGCTAATTTTAATTTAGTTCGTATTCTGAAATTGCGGACTGACTAAACTAAAATAAGAACCAGACCAATTGACAGCTGTTAACGAGCACCTAAATTGAATTCCAAGATTAGTTTAATTATACCAATGTTACTCGGGGATAATGTAGCATTCTAGGAGTGGAATAATTTTTGAGATCGGTGAGAAGTAGTTGTGTTTTCCGACACAAACACACAATTAGAAATTTTGACATTTTATATAGAATGCTTGCCCAAAGCCGAATATAAAGTTTAAAAATTCAATTAAATTGACATGAAAAGGAGATTTTTTTTTCTTTATTTTTTTGTTAAGTTGGAAATACTATATATCTTTTATAATTTTTATTTTGAATATCAAAGAAAAGCAGGGCCGTCAAAGTTTTCATTAAAAAAATGGTACGGGGTCTTTCTCAAGTGGAAGCTAGTAAATAATAAATTAGATATAACATCAGTCAACATGAAGATTTAGTCTGAGTTCTGTGTGCCATATTTTGATTGCTTTATACCTAATATATGTGAAACAATATTTTTATTTAATAACGTTTGCTTTTGTAGATGTCAGAGTGAAAATCTAAATTTTGAGTTGTATATAACAACAAAATAAACATTTGTTTCTTTATTTACTTAAAACAAGAAAACCGAGTCTTTTAATACAAAAAGATATTAATCTTGTTTGAAAATAAGAAATCTCATAACAATAAGAATACATCATACTTGATAGCATATAGTATAATCCCTTTTCTGGCATTCTGAAAGTGCTGCTGGTAGTGAAGTAAATAACAGTAACATGGATCATGTAGCGTACATATTTTGTGCTGTTTTAAGTCTTTTACTACTGGAAAAACTAAATTCATTCATTCACCCTTTATTTAATAAAATCTCCGCAAGTAAAATAAACAGAGTCCACGTAGTTTTTAATCATTTTTGAAGGCATTTTTAACGCTCAAGACATATCTTTCTGCACTCCTTTCTCTTGCTTATTAAAAGCAGTAATACCTCAGACTTTTACAAAAATCATATATTTTTATGAAGTACAAAAGAAAACTTTTGACGTGACAACGTCTTAAATTAGGTTGCGGCTGGGAGTCACTTATGAAAAAGTGTAACGCTCGGTAACGTTACGATGAGTTTAAGTTTACATGTACAAATGTTTTAGTAAACAAAATATATTTCTATAGTTAAAATTTGTGCAATTCTTATTTTCATTCAATTCCTTGTTCCTATTGTGCAATTTAATTATATTCATATCAATAAATATTCTACCGAGAAAAAGACGTTGTCACGTAAAATCTTCGCCCGTAAAACCGACTTTACAGGCAACCATTTTTTTTTTAAATAAAATTGAGGTTGCTGGTTATTTTTTCGATGTAAACAAACAACCTCATAATTGCCATTCAATACCAGATTAAAAAAAATATATTTTGATGACTTATGAAATAGATTGCTGGGAGATATACCCCTATTTATGCTTTCAATTTAAGCTGATCCAAGTTGTTCGTTAATTTATGGTAACTGTTTAGTACAAACAGCTGCAGTCCTGCCTTTAACTCCAAAGTTTATAGGCCAGACTATCCCCGTAGAGCCAGTATTTGTTTGGTTGGCACAAGTATTTATTGTTATGTACTGGCCTTCATTGTACATGCTGTAGACCTATTTGGAAATCATCTCATACTAGCACTCATTCTTGTAACCTACCTCGTCATCTTAATCGTCGTATTTGTACATTCACACATTACTGAAACTTATTGTTCATCCTCCATTTATTCTGCAGAGTAATTGCATAAATTCATGATCCTACATACGACTTTACATTTTGTTAATACGTATCAGAATCATAACTTCTAAAATTGCCATTCTAAAGTGACACTTCTCGTTGACACACTCGTCCTTTCCCCATTCTTTATTATTTTGTATTTTTTTTTATATTTTGTAAAAAAATATTCACTATTTACTTTTACTTTTGCCGTTAACCTTTTATCCTCCAACCTTTTTATATATTACTAGCTGCCCCGCAATTTTATGTGCGGTTAATAAGGGATATTTTCCCGCAGTAAAACGTAGCTTATGTATTAATCCAGGGTGTCAGCTAACTCCATACAAAATCTTATTTAAATCGCTCCAGTCGTGTAGACGTGAAGAAGTAACAAACATACACACTCACAAACTTTCGCCTTTATAATATTAGTGTAATAAGTGTGATATTTCGCTTCACGACATATGGTGGTATTTAAACTTATTTTTATAATATTTAAGTAACTAAGATCGATATTATAAGCACTTTTCTGAACAGTACCCTTAGCACGAACCTATATCGAATTCGTATCGTTTGCGAGTCCGAAACGTCATTGTCAAATGTGTACTGATTTTTAGTTCTCGTTACGTACTTTCTTATGCAATATGCTTGTTCACTTGAATTAGTCAGTAAGCTTAGTAGCTTGGCCCTCAGCACTAAGCGCGGATTATTATAGTAAAAACCTTTGCATCAGAAAAAAAATAAGCAATTCAATTAATGGTAAACTTTGTCATAGGCAATATATAAAAATCCTTTGTTACGGTACTTTCAAAACTCATTTCCAACTTCAAGTCTCAAGAGAAATTTCCAAAGACCCATTTGGAAGCAAGCCAAGATCCTGAATTCCGTGATAGGAGTTAGTTTGTATTCTTTTTTAGTTAATACTTTGGCGCTTATTACAATGATGTGAATATTAACAAGGAAATAAGTAAAGAATGTAATAATATCGTCACATTAAAAACTCTGCATAGTTACAGACTACTCGTCAACGATCATAATTTTGGCAAGAAGTTTACTAGCCAAATTATTTTTCTACTCTTTTGCCTGAAGAAGGACAGAAGTTTCCGATATGGTGACTGACGTGCGGCAAACCTTCATTACATGAAGAGGCAAGAAAAATAAGACACGAGTCTTCTTTCTATCATTTTGTATTTCCATTGTCATTTAAGTTGATTATCAAACCAAATTCAATAAAGGAAGCCTTATCTAAAATGAACTTGAATTTTGTTATAATACGCAGAGTCATAGATCGTTTTGTAATTTTGAAATGTTATTTAATGTCTTGTTATGTGCAGTCTTAAAAAGGGGGTGTATTTCAAGTAACAAAAATAATTAGCAAAGGAGGTGGAAAATCGTGCGCAATTAAATGTAATAAAATGAGGTTTATTCCAAAAATTTTGTACAATAGAGTATTTGACAGTATTAAAAATAAAGTGCCAATTGTTAGCATCTGTATTTAGAATGAATATTGGCAGGAGCTTTTACTAATTTTACAGAAAAAATATTCATAATTTTACTAAAAACCCACGATAAAGATAATAGTTTTCTTGTCTATTGTCACGTGACCCAAAACGCTTTGGATTGGTGGACCCTAAAATGACGTCACACGCAAGTAAACTTCCGGTTAAAGTGACATTTGATTGTATGGTTTGACGTTTTAATGACTGTCGTGTGACGTCACACACCAGCGAGCCGCCATATTGTCCAGAGATACGTTTTCCGCGGCAACTTGAAAATAGAGTTTTTGAATTAGTTTTTTTACCGAAATACACAATATAATGATGAATATCCATTAGTATGGACTCTATAAACATTAATGAATAACGTGAGATCGTTTTCTAAAACTTGTCAAATACCCTAATAAAACAATTAAACAGTCCTTTTTTCTGCGATTGGACGAATATGAAAACGATATTAAGTAAATAGATTATCAATACTAAGTATCGATTAATGTGAAGTAATTCACTGTCAAATATCAGTGTAGGTTATGTAACCTCACTTCATTTGAAACTCTGATTTGTCTGATAAAATTATAACCACACACTAGAGTAGAGGTATTTATGAAGGTATTTAAGGTCCTCTAGAAAAAAAATAAAAATAAAACCTGTATAACCGCGACGTTTTACGTGTCACTACTGATAAGGCATAACTGACACAAGCATTTTTTGTGCAAATGTTTTAAAACTAGGCAAACTCAACCTCATGATTTACACATACAATATATTTTCATAACTAAAACTGTAATTTTAATTACATATCATTAGTGGTTACTTTATATTTCTTACTTTAGTACTTACTTCTTAGTTTTATTTTAGACTAGACTGTTGATGGTATTGATGATTCAAATTGATATTGAAAACGTCTTTAATAACGATGCAATAAGATACTCATGTAATATCGTGCTATTGACTGTAAGTCACTTAAAACCCACTTTGCATAATATAAAACCTCTTTTTACTAGTTTATAGCTTGAGCACTGCAGGCACTTAGGTGCAAGGTATGGCAAACATTTACAACTCGTTTTCTAATCAAATAAATGGCATGATTACCTATGTTCTTTAAAGCTGCATTTTCACCAGAGCTCTATAAAGGAGGTGGGCTATTAACTGAATCATCTTCAATTTTCTTGATGGATATTTTAATGGCAATATTAAAATCCAGTTAGCTAAAAGTCGGAAAAATAATACATGCCATTTTGAAAGCGAAAGAAAAACATTTAAGGTTTAAGCATAATGACATTCTGTCAACGGATAGAGGTATTTTACGATTGTTACCTACATAATTTTTAACAGCTTATATTTGAAGTGAAAACTTCTTTAGCGGCGTTGTGCACTTTTTTTTTGTATGGGTTAAAAATGTTAAACTCGCTTCAGGACACGTGGACGTAAGACGAAAACAATAAAATTGGAAAGGTTGTTGACTTTCAATAAATTGGACGAAACATAGTAATATTTTATTTTATCGTCTTATAATAATAAGTC